TCAATAACAATATTAGTAATTATAATGTTTATAACAAAAGTAAGAGTGTTAATATTGATAGCATTAGTAAAAAAATACCGAGTCACCAATGAGACAATTACGAGAACTACCTGTCTCACCTGTTTACCCTTTTCCTTGATTTTCGATAATGTGTTTTCCCACTATTTCAAGGAAAGGTGAGATCACAAGATCTACTAACTGACTGCTTTGTGGCTAAGCACTGGCAGAGCCACCTATGTACAGAAACATTTAACAAAACAATGCTTAAATGAACGTAACATTTCCCTGTCAGCATTGGGTTAATGATGAATCATCTGACTTGATTTTCTTGTATCTTATCATCCTGTGTAGTTTCATTACATTTTTTCCATAGGTTTATGTTCTGTATGACTCTACGCTCTCTTAACACAAGGTACTATAAAGCCTCTGCAGTCAACAAACCAAGAAACATAGATGATAGCATAAATAAGAACTTACTATGCATTTGCTGAGCAGTTCAAACAGAATGAAAGAGAAAACATTTTTTACCCCCTTACCTGTACACCACTGAATGATATCCTGGAGCCTGATCATCAGTAATTGGCCGTAAAAATAAGGATGCAAACTTGTGTGCAGCAATTTCATTCCACAAGATCATGATGGGTTTTTTCCATGATCTGTATGATCGTTCATGTTCAGGATCATCCCTAAAGAAAGACAATTAGCTAAAGACTTTTGACCTACAAAATACATGCTATTTTCAACTTGTGCTTCTTTATGAGCATTGTTAATACAGATGAACTTAATCACAAGATCTCAGCATAAAAATTTGTGACAAGAAAAAAGTCTGAGCATTTTCATTATAAGAACAAATGGCATGGAAGCTAACCCATAGTGGGTAGAAGCAGGAGAGTTTGGTGCAGACTCTGTTATTAGTGGGGATGATGATCCAGCAAAATCTCCTCCAGATACTTTGCGCTTTGTATTCCTGACGAAGATCCTTTCCACTTCACTCATCCAATCCCTGAAAAATATTTTTAAAAAGACAATCATCCAACTGGAAATACCTAATTATTACTTCTCTCATCATTACTTCTCTTATCAAGTTCAAAGTTACAATGTAATGGCAGAGTTTTTGTATTTTTTACCAACAACTCAAAACTGATGAGATTGGATAGAATTCCTTGGGTCTTTGGTTTATTATGGAGCTTCATCACATGTTTCTTAGACATGCTACCATTTGTCACACCATACACTGGTAATTTCTTTAGTCATGTGCCCATGAAATTTAATTTATTGTTATTTAATTTATTGTTATTTAGCATGTTATTTAAGTTCTCAGTTAATTAAATGACGAGACGCCAAAGCAAAGATTTTATAAAGTCAATAAAATGAGATGAGAAATAAACTTTAAATCACGCTGTTGTTACTTATTAACAATACAATAAGAAAATGATATCTAGGACTACTAGTAGTATTGTTACACTAGCCTATGTAAAATCCTCTCTAAAAACTCACTTGCTTTCTTGGCCATCCTGGGAATCCTCTTCCTGTTCCTTTTTTAGGCTCTTTTTATCGTTCTGTGTCAACTTCCTTGCTTTCTTCTTCAGCTGGCTTCTTCACTACTGGTTTCTGCTCCTCAGATGGCTTGCTTTTAGCATTTTTTTCTTCCTCCTCCTCTGTTTTCTTCTTCTTGTTGGCTCTTTCTTCATCTTCCTCTGCCCTCTTCTTGGAACTTGCCTTTTCATCCTCCTTTTTCTTTTCCTTTGGCTTCATGTCTTCATTTTTCTTATTTTCTTTTTTCTTTTCTGAATCACTGACTACAGGCTTTTCTTCTTTTATTTCCTTGTCTTCACTTTTAGGTGGCTTGCTTTCATCAGGTTTCTTCACAATACTTATATCCTCCTTCTTCTCTTTCTCTTTCTCCTTTTCCTTCTCTTTGTTTGGTTCTTCCTGTTTTGGGCATTTCTCTTCCTTTTTTTTCTTGTCTTTTTCTCTCAATAACTCATCAAACTTGTCATGCTTCTGTTCTTTTTTCTTGATATCTTTGCCATCTGCTTCTTTGTCAGGTTTCTCCTCTGCCTTCTTTACATCCCCTTTGTCCTCAAGAGAGATGTCCCCCTTCACATCCTGTCAAAAATTAATTTCATTATTTCTCTAAACTACGTATCATTCATCACAAACTGATGGCTATATGAAATACATATTTCCTTAGTAATAATGATAATAATAAAATATCCCAATAAGAAGGTGAAAATGAAATAATAATTTCTATCATTGCTTTCTCTCTCTTTTTTGCGTGAAAATGGTATACTTTTGTGGGTGTTCCTTGGATGGGGACATTGTCTTTTTCCGCAGCTGCAGTGGGGAGGCCAGCAAGCTTTGGTGAAGACGGGGTTTTACTCTTTTCACACTCAGAGTTGGGGTCAATTTTACTGGCAGCCAGTGGTGGACTAGGGGTGATGGTGGGAACAATGGCAGAAGAGACTGGGGATGCAACCTTGTCCAAAGTTGGAGAGGTGGGGACACTGACTTTTGCAGGTTCACTGCACTTGGGAGTGGTGGTGGTAGTAGTAGTGGTGGTTGTGGTGATGGTGGTACTTTGGGGTGACAAAACAGTGTTATTAGTTTTCTTGCGACCACGATGACCTGGGCGCTTTGTGGGCTGCTCCAATTCCTTGCTTGAAGAGGCTTCTTGCTCCGAATCCTGCTGGACCTGCTTCTCTTTTTCTTCTTGTTCATGATGCTGTTAGGGTACCAATGCATATTACAAAATCACAGGAATATTGATAACATAATTTGTGTTTGCTGCCTTTAAAGATTTAGCAATTCTGATTTCATAGTTACCAAAAGTAACAATATCTATCAAAATATATACGGAAACTATAATTAACATCACTAATAGTAATGAAGAAAAGACAAAAATAGAAGTAAACCATAAAGACAATTGTGATAAAAACAACAAAAAGTTTTCACAAATTTACACCAAACTCATTACAATCATCATTTTACCTCCTTCTGTCTGCTACATTCAGTGACTATGTCAACATTTCTACACAAGACAATCTACTATGTAAACTACAAAACAAAATAAAAAGTATCAAACAACCGCAACTCTTTCTTCCCAGAAAAAAGGTATAATCCTATACATTTGTTTCCCCTTTCACTGTCCACAACCTCATGCTTGTCAATTTCAGTCTACAATGAATTGAGGTAAAGTGAAACAAGTATGAAGAAACCATATAAATAAATAATTCAACAGATACTAATGAAATTAGTGTTAAAAATACTTCTACACACAAACACACCTCTGGCTTAGAATGTACTTAGTCCTAGGTAAGGAGAGAGAAAAAGAAAGAAGGAAGAGAAAAAAAAAGAGAGAAAGTGGAGTGGGTAGGGTAGGGTAAAATAGGTTAACATAAGATAGGGTAAGGAAGGGAAGGGAAAGGAAGGGAAGGGAAGAGTAGGGAAAGGGAAGGAAGGGAAGGATAGGGTAGAGTGAGATAGGATAGGGTAAGGTAGAGTGAGATAGGGTAGGGTAAGATAGTGAGGTAGGATAGGGTAAGGTAGAGTGAGGTAGGGTAGGGTTGGGTAGGATAGGATAGAGTAGGTAGGTAGGAAAGAGAAGAGAAGGAAGGGTAGGGTAGGGTAGGGTAGGGTAAGATAGATTACTATAGGATAGGGTAAGGGAAGGAAGGGAAGGAAGGGAGGGAAGGAAGGGTAGGAAGGGAAGGGAAGGAAGGGAGGTAGGTAGAGTGAGTAGGATAAGGTAAGACAGAGTGAAGGTAAGGTAAGGTAAGGTAAGTAAGGAGGTAGTAGAGGGTAGGGTAGGGTAAGGTAGGGTAGGGTAGGTAGGTAGGGACGGGTTAGAAAGAGAAGGGTAGGGTACGGTAAGGTAGGGTATGGTAGGGTAGGTAGGTAGGAAGGGTAAAAGAGAAGGATAGGTAGGTAAGGTAGGGTAGAGTAAGGTAAGGTAGTGTAGGGAAGGGTAAAGTAGGAGAGAGTGCAGTAGGGCAAGGCAGGGTAGGGTAGGGTAAGGGACAATAGGGTGAGGTGGGCAAGGAAGGGGATGATAAGGTAAGATAAGGTAGGGTAGGGTAAGGTGTGGAAGGGTAGGGTAGAATAAGGCTAAATAGGGTAGGTTAGAGTAGGGCAGGAAAGGAGGAAAAGAGGGAAATACAAGAGATTATAAAGGAGGAGGAAACCCAACGACAACAATAGAAGTAATAGTGGTTTCCTCTGCTTGCTCGTTCTTTCTCCATCTCTTGTAGATAAGGTATGACTGGTTTTCCAAAATGAATTATCTGATATTCAAAACACAAAAAATACCTTCAGTATACAAAAAATTGATAAAAAAAACATACATTCTAAAGATCTTATGTATGAAATGATGATGGATGCTGGAATCTTATAAATTAAATTAAGATGCATACAGAATTTTTATATATGAAATCATGATGGGGGAAGGATTCTTATATACGAAAGTATGATGGACGCAGAAGTCTTACAGACACATGAAACTGTGATGAAGGCAGGATAACAAACATATAAATACTTGTCATAAAACTGTCCCCCACAGTGTTATTGTGAAAAGGTAACACCCTTGTTCCCCTAATCCAATTGTAAATTCTGCCAGAACCACTCCAAATTTTTGATCAATTTTTCACATATATTTTTTTCAATATCTGACTGATGAGGAAAGCAGTAAAAAAAATTGGGCATTTTCAATACAAAAAAATGAAAGAACATATGTAAATCATTAAATAATTTACAAGTTTTTGGAAGAGAACTACACTTGCTCTATTTTCAATTTTCCTGGAAAAATAGCCAGCATTTCAGAGATTAGTATCCTTACTCAGAGTCAGGTTAGTCAAGGGTAATTATTTTGTTTTTCATTTGCATATAATACTGTTTACAACAGTACTAATAAAAAAAATATTTAAAGCCATAGCTTAGTTCAGGAAAAATGACACATGCAGCATGTTTATCTTCAAAGAAAAAGTGACACAAAGTGGCTGATTCTATTTCAAAATGAATATGCAATAAATCCAAAAACAGAATAATACAAAATAATATTCTTGAAACATTTTTTTATCCCAACAGTTAATGGTGCATGTAATTACAAATGAAACTTAAATGACATTTGCTCTGGATAGAATAAATGTTTAGTCACATCAAAGTTTTACTGGAGTTCAGTTTCTACATTCCATTATCTCCTAGAGATCTGAAAATATTGATGTTATATATAAAAATTCTAACTAAGCATGCATAGGCTAATTACTGTATGGACTACAGTCACTGGATGATAATCAAGAAGTATATCCTCTTATGCTAAAAATAACTAAAAAGAATAATAGCAATCTCTAATCAGTTAAAATCACCTTAGCTAGTCACTGGGATTAACAGTTATCCAATATTATCAATAGATTACTTCACATTTTTTCTATGGAATATATGGCTTTACTCAAAATCAAGATATTAAAACTTATTAAGTATATATAAAAACAATATTTAAATAATATGAAATGCATAAAACAACTGCTACCATTTACCTATATACACAATATAATCTTAAATATCCTTTATTGATATAAAGTTTAATAACCATCTTATCTCATATTCCATAGTGATGAATATGATCATCTTAAATAAAATATATTTAAGTTCTGCTCACAATAGGTTTGATATGAGGCACTAAAAGCACTTACCTCAGATTCTTTCACTTTCTCTTCTGCTTTTTCTTGTACTATAAACTGCGTCTCCATAACATCTTCTGTCTCTTTGCTCTCCACTTTTTCCTTTTCTTCCTTCAGTGTTTCAATTTTTTCAGCCTTCTCTGCCTGTTCTTCTTGGAGTTCTATTGAAACATCAAACGTGTCATTCTTAAGTCAGTGAGGGAAAATAACAGTAAGTTACCCGGAGAGTCTTAAAAGAGTGGCTGGAATGTCTCAACAATAGCAAATGGATTGATTTTTTTTTAGTCCCATGAACTTCATCATTTACAAAGCTAACGTAGATAATCTTATATATTCAGATATATTGAAGTGAAATACAATTATTATACAGAATGCCATATTTCTATATCATAAGTATTAAAAATAAATAAACAAAGCAGCAAAAAATAATAACATTAATCTTTGATAGTGTACATGCAACAATGCCACTGAAAATGAAGTAGATTACAAGACTCTCCCATGAAATTCCTAATAAAATAAAAACTGTGAAATTATGACAATAACCATAATGATCTACCGTATGCATACATATTCTTTTAAAAGCAAAGGCAAACAATTTTCTGCAAACCAACCTTGTTCACCTCTGCTCTCTTCAGCTTGCATTTCCATTTTGATTTCTTCAACTTTGCTTTCCTTGCTCTCTTCTACCTCCATTGCTTCTGCTGTGCAAGTTTAATATTGCTTATTAAATATTTTTGTTTTCTTTCAGTGACAAGGAGAAGTTATATCTACACGATTCTTTTTTTTCTTCAAAAATATGAGTAAATATGAGAACATGAAAACTTACCAGTATCATCTTCTTTAGGTACTTCATCTGCCTTAGGTTTCTGCTCTTTCTCTCTGGTCTCTTCAACATTTGGGCAGTCTTTACTATCTTCCTTTTTTTCTTCCTCACATTTTTGTGCATTAGAACCTCCACAATTTTCCTGCAATGATATGATTACTATGGTTATTTCATGTTGGGATAGCAAGATGAACTATTTAAGCTATTCTTTAGCAAAAATACAAAACCTTCCTCTCAATAATTCTGATAACCCTTTTGCCTTGGCTATCATACAGCTATATGTAAAACTGCCTTTCCCAAAAAGATTGGGAAGGTCCTATATTTGAAAAATACAAGAACTATTTTTCAAATACATCTGGGGTTAAAACACAGCAGAATAAGGTTTGTCATTTTGGCAGCAATCTATAGCTAATTCAGAATATGGGAATGGAATACGAAAAATCAAAGTTATGACAAAAGATGTCTATTCAGCACAATGGTACAATAATTATTGAAATGTAGTTCTTGAATATATTGAGAGACTGCCTTTTTATCCCAGAATTATATATGGTAAGGCCTACAAAGCAGTAACCTCCCCAAAGCAAAGGGATTCATGTCTGCACAATATGAATTCTGTGTTGAGAAATTATTAGCGAACTGGTTATACTTAACCTACACATAAAACTTGCAATAGCCTTTGTTCTTTGCTTACACAAAAAACTACATCAGAATCAAGCTGCATATAAACTTTCTGTATTTTTCCTCATCATAAATTCATTGCACCCTTCCTTCTATTGTTCTGTTTAATTTGGAATAATATAGAGGGAATAATAATAAAGAACTGATTATTAGAAACCAAACGGTAACCCACCTCATCTTTAGACTCAGTTACTGGTCCACAAATATCAGGTAGTCTGGGCAATGCAGTTCCTGGAGTGCTTGGAGGCAGGTCTAGAAGGCGTGACAAAGTTGATGATCCTATAAAGCAAGGTGCCAATGAAGTATACAGGAAGCAAAATCAACTTGATCCAAATTTTTAAAGACCAAGGAAAAAGGAATGTGTAGATGGCATCATCTAGATATATCTCTTGAGAAAAAAAAAAATTCACTGGTTCACAATGAACTGACAAAACAGAATTCTGAATGGATTCATCTATTACTGGTTTTAATTAAGTATATTCAAATATCATAATGTAAACAAAAACTTTTCAGACTAAAACCTGATAAGCTTGGGCTTCTACTGGTCTTTGCAGAAGTGTCTTTGTTAGCATCTGTCCCTGAGATGGCCGAGTTGACCAGGTTCTGAAGTGCCATAGAGACCCCACTTCCTCTTCCACTTTTGTTGCCAAGATTCAACTGGAAATATGAAAAATATAGAAATAAGCACATGAGTACAAAAAGCACTTACAATCTGCTTTTTGGGTATCTATTCATACATTTCAACCCGAAGTGTATTCTGCCCTATTTCCACCATGCTACTAACTGGAGGCAAAGGAGATGTAGAGGATCCTGATGCACCAGTAATAGGAGACTTATTGAGGAGTGAAGACAACAGTGGAGAGGGAGGTGTTGGCTTTGGTTCTGGTTCTTGTGACACACTTTCGTCTGGAGCCTGTCAAGAGAGCAAATATGATAGTTAAAATCTTACTCAGTCAATGAATTCCTAATGGCTTCCTTTGAGAAGAATTCCATAGAAATTAATCATTCTGGCAATCAAGTTCTCCTGAAGATCTAATTTGATTCAAATGGACTTCAATGTACAACTGCAAAAAAAATTACAAAAAATGAATGTTACTTTTTTTCTTGCACATTTAATTACTGCATGGAGGAATGATACGGAGTCTGTGCAAGGCAAATAATCTATTACCTCCTGGATAACACAAATCAAAAGACATTTAAATATGGACATTAGAAAACGGCAAAAAAGCTAAAAAGTTTATGCAAAATAACTTTGCAAAGAAAGGGCAAAGAGTCTTGTCACTGCTCACGAGTGCTCATGAGCAGTGACAAGACAGCTTATATATCACATGCCTGGGATATAGGCCACTAACGTTGCCCATATTTTCGGAGTTGTGATTCCCATGACACAGCTGGATCCAACAGGGTAAATTAGAGCTAAGTTACTGAACCTATATACAAATTTATCTCCATATGAATGTGCTTGAATGACAGAAAACAAGCATCACGTAACAGTGTATATATGCAGCATTACTGTAGACTTAGAAATAATAAACATTATCATGTAATCTGTGTAATTATTAACCCCTGGATCCAATTGCTTCACAGCAATCACATAGCCCAAAATACAGGCACTGGGCTTACATGAGTAACCACTCTGACGGGTGTGCAGCTTGTAGGCCGGGCGCACACAAATGCTCATGCTTGTTGACAAGACTATATTCCCCCTTGCAACGTTATTTTCTCTTACGCTGAAGCATTTTTAGTTATTTTTGCCATTTTCCAATGTCCATATTTGCCAATTGATTTGTTTTATCCAAAGAGTTATAAGCTGCTTTCCTTGCAAAGACTTTATATCATTTCCTGCAAGTAGTCTATAACTAAGTACAAGAATATTAACAATAAATAATATTTTGTTATTTGTGCAATTTTTTAATTTTTTTCATATCAAATTTTCTGTAATACAATTTGTGTTGCCAGTCATGGCAGCCAGAAACAGGATGGTCAGCATGGAAATGGTGTCCTTCCTGGAAATGGCACTATTCCTGTCATGGATCACCAACCGTAAATTCCACACTCATTTATCGATGGAAATAAATGCAAACACCCCTTTCTAGATGCCAAATGAGTCTAATCACCACTCAAGAGGTTTATGCACTCTTGGTAAGTCTTTCCCGTAACCTTTGCCTTCAACCAAAATGCTCATGATAGCAAGTTCGCATCACCCCAACCTACAGCCAGATTTTCCCATGGCAGCATGTTCACGTCACCCGATCCTCAAGCCAAATTTTTTCAATGTGTGATGGTCACATCATCCAGACTATAGAGTTTAACTAAGATGTGACTGTTTTCCCATAAATGCAAATTACATCCTATGTCAACAAACAATTGTTGAGTAATTTTTATTAGCTTTCTTGATTACAGTTCACATACTTCTAAAGATAGTGAAGTGTAGCAAAAGAAACAAATAGGGACATTTTCCACCAACAGAGCATTAACAATATCAATGATATAAACCATTTCCCCATCTACTTACCGGACTTTCAGTTACAGTCTCACTTATTTCTGGACTGTCAACTGCACTGTCAACCTCGGATGAGGTTTCTGAGACCCCGCTGTTTCTTCTACCCATTGATAATCCTCCTGACCACTGCAGTTTCTGCTTTTTCTTGTTTGGGAGTACTGGTACTGATGGCAAAACAAAAAAGAACACATTATACAAATAAGTTTCTCTTTAATAATATTCCTTTTAATATCATATACTTCTTTTCTTAAGCCTAGTCTAGTACAGAGCAGCATATCATCCAGTATACATAATCTGAATATTTACCCAATAAAAGTACAACTAACAAATATATGACATACCCTTTGGGCCTTGGTGTTTCAAAGCTTGTTGGATTGCTGTTATTTTCTCCTCACGTTCCTTGAGCCACTGTTGGTGCTTCCTCTCTTCTTCCTCCTGCTCAGCTCTTTCTCTGTATATTTCAAAGTATTCATTTCAAATTCCTCTTGTAGTTAACATATTTCAATTTATATTCCTTGTTTATATATATTATCAGATAACTAAACATTATAACCACAACCTTTTTATCATTTGCCATTACACAATCAACAGAACTCATATATCTTCTACTTAAGAACACACCTTTGTAATTCTTCCCAAAATGCATCAAGCTGGTTATCAAGTAATCCATCCTCAAGTTGCTGTATTTCCCGCCTCAGTTTGTTATATTCTGTTCGCTCCTCTGATTCAGCTGCACGAAGCTCTTCTACACGCTCTGAAAAACATCAGGCCAGACATGGTATAGATAAGTAATAAAGGTCATCTTAATTTCCACTTTTCCTTTTTTTTAACAATGCATTACTGTAAAGTATGCTACCATTTACTTAACCTTATCTATGTACATAATCTACAAATAGCTAAACATAATAGACAGCAGTCATCTAAAAAAAGAAAAAAAAAAAAAAAAAAAAAAAAAAAAAAATCTATACTTAATCTATAGTTTTGATACTCTGATCCAGTAAATCTGCAACTTACGTTTACTTAACATTTTGGTGACAATTTCCCCTGGCGTTTCATTGGATGCATCTCCACGTTCCCTCTTTCTTTTTGGGGTGTCTACACACTCCAGTAATTTTGCATATTGTAGAGCACAGTTTTTTGTTGAATACCAGTCAGGAGGCCGACTAGTTTCATTAGTCAGCATCTTTATATTGCGTCTTACAGCAACCCTAGAATAAATAACAATGTAAAACATATGAATATACATATAAATATTCACATGTACAAACATTGAAGTTCTATTCCGTACCTCAGCATATATCAAAAATCAAAAAATTTCATACATTACTTCAGAAAAACTACTTAATTTTCAGCAGAATGACACAACCACTATTATCTCACATAAAAGAATAAAAATCAACTAAACATAATGAAGATATCACATACACACACACCCTATTTTCATAATATACAGGATAAAACTTTACAATCTAAAACTGAAATATAATCTTATAATGCCTTTATCCATAAAGATAAGACAAGTTATATAGTTTAAATATCTTACCAGTTTTGGTCGCCACTGCGCATAACAGCTGATGCAAGACATAGCTGTTCTCTGGTTGTCCATGTGTCTACTTGATATTGCTTAAGTTTAAGGCCTGAAATTAAAGATAAATATCAATTAGACATACATCATTCTTACAGTATCATACATAAACTTAAACAAAGATTATCGAGTTACTGGAAAAAAGGGCACACATTTAGAAAAAAAATCAAGAATGTTCAATGGAAGAGGTTACTAAGTATGTACCAAAATGTATGTTGTACAATAAATGGCTAGAAGTCACAACAGACACTTCAGTGGGAAAGCTCTACATCTAAATGTGCATTCCATCTGTCTATCAATACACATCAAAAAAACTTTGGTTCACTTCATATGGGGCTCCTCAGTTATAGAAGCATTACTAAATTACTAAATTACTAAATCTGGTGTAAATCTTATGATGGGCTATTGCATGTTAAACAATTCTTTATTTCTGATATGGCTATTGTAGAAAGAATTTATCAACAGGCCATTCCACTTCCCAAAGAAACAGATAAGAGAAGTTCTCTCATTAGGATAATCCATTAACACACCTAGGAAGACTGAGAACATACCCCCAAATATCAGACCACTGTTTTCTGGTATCTAAAATATGGGAAAAGTTTCCATTCCATGTATAGCTCAATAGATTTTTCTTCTTCTTCCAAAGCCTACTTTTTCTGCCATTACCAATTTTCAAAATTTACAAAGACAACTGGCTTATTAGGGATCTGCTGTCTCCTGGAGTCTACCTTCTTTGTGAAGGCTGACTTGATTTAAGACATTGTTGTTAAAATTTGCATGTACATACATGTCATGACCAATGTCAGTTTAGTTTTCTCACTGCATTTATGTAAAGATGGCTCCACAAGTTTTATGTTATTATGGAGTCGATTATTAGTCCTACCTATCACGCCTGTTTACTGTTATTCTTGACTCAGAAATATCTTTTTATATTTCATATTGTTATTAACATTATAAAAATCATAATGCCATTCATAATAACAGCATCAATATTAAAAGCAATATTCATATTGAAAGAAAGGTTTAACCTTTCCCATATTCCCATATCGCGAGAAGCAAACCAGAATAATGGAAGTGATGGGTTCAAGTCACAAAAAGCATTAACGCTGATGGAAGCACTTTTTAATGATGGTAAGAGTTTATTTGATCTATATATTAATATATTGCACTTTTTCTATTCCTAATGTAAACATTTCCACCAGGTGGCCAAGTGCTCCAATCAGCATTTACACGTTTCATGGCCTGAACTCATCACTTCCATTTTTCGGGTTTCTTTTCGCAATCAGGGAACTAATGAAAGGTTAGACCTTTCTTTCCAATCATATGGTTCAAACAACCAAAGGCTACACAACTCGGTATTTTCACAAAAAAAAATTAAATTCTTGGATAAACACTTTGAATCCATAACCATGCACAGTGATTTTTTGAACGAACAAGGGTTTGTTTTCACCAAGTGCTCGTTCCTAGATGAGTTTACTATGCTTTACTGAATCAGTCTTTAAGGAAGGTGGTGTCCATTTCCCTCTATCTCCATATGTCCGGGTTTATCACATCCTGATTTTTGGCTGTGATTACGACAGAAATGACCATCAGATTCGTTCTCATCACATGAGAATAAACCTGATGATATAAGTATTATCTGTCATAATTTAAAATAATAATCATAATTTCTATATACCCCCCCACATACACACATGTATAAATCTGTGTTAGAGATTAAGAGGAATTCATAAATACCAATGTTGTCCTGATAAGTCATATGAAGGTATTTTAAAAACTTAACAGTAAAAGTTACTGATAACAAAAAGGGGTAATAGAGGGAAATACACAATGCCATCTTATACAGTGTATGAAATAGATTAAGATACAATAGTTTAAAATGCAGCAGCCTCATTTCATATTCAAACATTCTAATTGGTTTTCTATCTTCTATATGTACTTCATTTTTTCAGCTTTCCTCTTCATTAACTTTAATTATAATTAACAATCTAACAACATTAATGACTCTTTACAAGAATCTTTTGGGCATAAGCAATTTCAAGAGAAATGTTTTGTTTTTGGTATATATAAATCTAATAACCATGCTAAGATAGGGAAAATCTAAGGGTATTCTCATAATGATATGTAAAAAAATACACTCACTGATATATGATATGATCTGCACAGGCAAATAACATCAAAAATGAATCAAAAAGGTTGTGTTAAATGGCATATTTACTGTGGCTAAGTCTTTTTAAATATAACCCAGAATCAACACAACACTGGAAACACAACATTTCTCATCAGCGTTTTACCTTGAAATGAACGCGTGAGCTGTCATATTCTGGCAGCAGGAGCAAGAAACTGTGAAACATTCAATGCGCACGATTCTATATGAGGGTATAGATAAAAATTATAATGTGCAAATGAAGCATAATAACATTAATAAAAGACTTTAAAGTCATAAATGTGTAACAGCAGACACTGATAATTAGCCAAATATCGTTTTGACAAGCGTGTAATAACACATGGACTAGTTTGGGCATCACAATAATGTGTTCAGGGGTCAGTGTTTTACTATTCCTGGCAAGGTAAACAAGTTGCTGGACTTTGAATTGTAGTGGCGCCCACAAATTATATTATTGTAATTTAACGGTGACTATAAGGCCGCTGCAGCTTAAACTATGTTCTATCCCACTCTATTTCTTCTACTCTATAAGGTGGCAGTGCCCATTTTTCTCTATCTATGCACGTTTGTATCTGTAACCTCTACCCGTCCCGAGACGTGTTGGTGACGTATTTCTCCAAATTCACTCATCAGGCTTGGTAACAATCACCTATTTACCCATCTCAGTTTGGTTGTCTATGTGGGTGTTTAAGTATTTTTCACCAGCAATTTTAATTGAGAATACATAAGTCCTTTATTTTTCACTGGAGTAGATGGCATAGCCAATAATTACTGGCTTCCTGCAGAAAATATAATACAATTATTGCTAGTTAAATTCCGGCCAAATTAACTGACAACTTCCATCAATTACAAGTGAAGTAGCACACACTGTCAAAATCAGACATGGAATCACCTCCATTTCTTACCCTATTATCAAACTGCAACTATCTTGAGAGTCTCCCTACCATAAATATTCTAAAAATGTCAAAAATATTCAAATTGATAAGTACTTACGCTCTTCTAATGACGTTGCCATGTTTGTTTACACTCTGTCGTGGATCCAGCACACTTGCTAAACTTTGCCGCAACAAAAATACTTATCAATGAAAATAGGAATAAATAGATGCATCATATACTGAGATCAGATGATACTCTTTCTATAGACGAATTTTCTAATATATTTCTTAAAATGTATGCAGTATCGCACTCGACTCTTCAAATACTGTATAGTTCGCAATTATATGTGTTGGATGTTTCCGTGAACAATACTTCGATTATTTAAAGTGTGGATGGATACTTGGGTGCATGCATAATTACAGTTTACAGGTTTACATTTTTTTTTACCTCGGAAGAACATGCTTGCTCTGTGCGTGTGTATGTGCGTGTGCGTGTGCGCGTGTGTGTGCATGTGCGTGTGGGTGGGGGTGGGGGTGGGGTGGGTGCGTGCGTGCGTGCGTGAATACGCCTTTGAAGTGTTGAAAATATTTTGTTGCATTCTGTTGCGTGTTTGATTCATTCTGCGTTTAAAATCCTTAAAATTATATCATTTTACACTACGAAGGGCAAGCTATCCTATTTCTGTTATGTGTGTATAACTTATATAAAGGCCTCCATGCATGCTCAAAATGCGCAAACGTTTCCACAGCACAAGCAACCTGTTTATGCAGATTATGCGTATATGGCGGTAACAACTGAAACATGCATGAATTATATGCTAATTCCATAGGAATAGGAAATGGGGGAGGGGGGGGGGCATTCTAGAATGGAGATGGGCGGGACCCAGCTTCTGCCCTTCACTCCTCAACTTTCGAGGACAGCTAACTGAGATTTCTTCAACTCAGTGATAATAACAGTGTTCTTTAGAGTTAAGCGACAGAGTAATAACGTGTTCACAAGATAGGCTGAAGAAATGGAGGTCCTGCCAGGGCCGGTGCTAGGAATTGCGGGATCCAAATAGAAAACTGATGGTGGGGGCCCTATTCAACACAGTAAAATTTATGGATGTTTATATTTCATATGAAAAAAAAAACATAGACAGACCAACAAATAACGAATAAACGTTATCTGCTTAGTATAATACATTTTTGAAAGAGAATATGAAAAGTTTTAGTTTTATTTATAAGATAAAAAGAGCCTTGCTAGCGCGGGGCCCCTTCAGGTGCGGGTCCAGTTTGACCAAATCGGCTTAAAACCGGCCCTGGGTCCTGCAGAACCAGCTCAGTGAATTGAAATCTGTGAAGATCTGGGAGGAATTCGAAAGTTAAAGCAAACATCATAATATTCAAAGGGGAATACAGCCTTTTAACGGATAAGATTAAATGGCACTGATTGAGACAGATATCCATCACGAAGGGATAATTGACGACTGAATAAAACAAAAAATCACAATTTACATTCATTTTTATTTATTAGATGAGGGTAATGCCAACTATATGGCTTTCAAGTGATTATACTATACTATATATATATATATATATATATATATATATATATATATATATATATATATATATATGTGTGTGTGTGTGTGTGTGTGTGTGTGTGTGTGTGTGTGTGTGTGTGTGTGTGTGTGTGTGTGTTTGTGTTGTATATAATTTTTTTTTTTTTTGCTTGCTTGCTTGCTTGCTTGCTTGCAGGTCAATGCAGATCAGAGCTATGTCAAGTACGTGGCCTTAAAGTTATTAGTTTAGGTATTATATTCTCAAAATATTGATGATCGGATGCTGGCAGATTCTGGGGTCAGTCATTTTAAGTGTAGCCCCAGACAACGAAGGTGATTTATTGACAATCAGTTAATGGGGTTAACGCCGAAGGGGCGTATTACCACATCCATCCTCTGTTTCCAGCCACAACAATAATCCTTCATAGTAAAGATGTGCGTAGTGGGCTGCCTCGCACATCCTGATCTCTTTACAACAGAATTGTCCGATTTGCCCAAGACACAACTTTGTAGTCCCAACCTGGGTTGTCTCTAAAGGAAACCCAGTGGGCAGGATCACCCTCAGAGTGCAAGATTGTGCAATAGGTCCTACACCATTCTTAATGTGTAGTCGTTTGGGGTACTTGTTTCTCCCAACAGCATCCCATAATGCAGTGTAAATACCTGTTGCAAAAGGCATCAAGATGAAACTTGGGTCCTTTTGCTCAGATAGTGACATTTCCAATGCTATAGTCAAATTAATTTATGTTTCTTGCCATTCGGCCTAATCCGTCTTCTAATGTCCCGGTGGGACAGCCCAGTCACACACTATATTACCAAGATCTGCAAAGCTCTGTGTGGCTTCGAATTCTTGACCGCAAGCACGTACCAACTGAATAGGTTCTATCAGCTAACCCTTAAAGTCTGGATCTTGACAAAGAGACTTCTTGTCTGGAGAGTTTCTTCTCGCTGCTAATACATTGGAAGCTACAGTTAGGGCCTTTAAAATATCAACATTGTCTAGATTTGTAGACTCATTCCCCATTGTAGCTCCACCTTGACTTTCAGCAATAAATTTATTATGGAATACAAGATAAGTGTTAACTGAGGCAAGAACACTCACTCCAAGAGGAACCAAGGACCATGAGGGCTGTGAGATTGCATGATACACTATGTTATGCAGTATGGTATATTGCTCGCAGGTATAAGCCACTCTCAGGTGCCGGAATGGATTACGAGGACATCTGGATGAGCACGAAGCCGAGAAGAACCTGGACGAGATCTGCGAGGATGTGTGGACGGATATGCCGCCGAGTAACACCTGGACGAGGACTACGTGGAAGTCTGGACGACCTAGGCGAGACCTTCAGTCACGTGTGGACGTCGAGGACGTATAAATTCACCGAGGACCAAGAGCAGGCCGATAAGTAGGAGCAACATGAGGATGATCTAGGACAAGAACGCGAGAACAAAATGACCAGCAGATCGAGTCCGATGATGGGCCACCAGTGAGACAAATGACGCCTCGAGGGCGAGGCGTGAGTAGGTGGCTGAACAATATAGCATACTGCATAACATAATGTAGCATGCAAGCTCACAGACCATGCGGTTCGTGGTTCCTCGTGGGTGCCACATGTTGTCCGCGCGGGTCGCTCTCTGTGGCCCCATGCCACCCACGCTGCCGGGGTCAGATATAAGCCGACCCAGCTTGACCTCGGTCTCACTCAGAATCACCCACTCCAAGAGCGATCCTGCCTCTCCGGTGACCGCGCCAACGCCTCGTCAGGGCGGGCTGGCCGTGTATCGTACCGTGTTCTATTTCTACTTGTGTGTAAACTCTTTAAAAATAAAGAGTCAGCCGTATACAGAATATTACTCTGACCCACCAGTGTCAATAATAGAAGGTATAATACCTTTTATAGTGGTGGCCGTGCAATATAGCATACTGCATAACATAATGTATCATGCTAGCTCACAGACCATGCCATTTGCACGTGGGCACCATGCTGCTTGTGCTGGCGTAAACCCCTCATGGCGCGATTCTAAATATACGCCCCACGTGGACGCCAGCCATGCTGCTAGGGTCAGATATAAGCCGACCCAGCTCGACCTCTCTCGCTAAGACTCACACTCACACTCAAGACAGAGACAGACTGACCTCCGCTCACCCTCCGCACGGCTACGTCCTTGCAAGGGCTTGCGACCGCGGGCACCACCAGCACTGTCGTCTCGAATTGCGTTTATTTCTACTCGTGTGTAAACTCTTAAAAATAAAGAGTCAGTCGTATCAGTATATTACTCTGTCCCACCAGTATCTATATAGAAGGTATAATACCTTTTATACCCATTGAGTGAATAAGGGTACTTAAAGTGGGTTTGGAGGGTAGCCTCAAGTAATTATGATCAATGCAACAAAACTCTGCATTCCGGTTAAAAACACAAATGATACTTTGTAAAGGATTTTGACCTTGCTCTATTACCTGTATTGCTATACCAAGAGTAGTGGTGTTGGCTTGTAATCAACAGGACTTCAAAAAGTCGAACAGTAGTGTTCTGAATACACAGAACAAACTTATAGTAGTCAGCTCGAACATGACTTGATCAGGAAGCAACCGTGCATGCCTTCTGCAAAATCGTGGCTGGTTGATAGATACATATTGGCAAAATGTCAGGTGGGGACTAACCCATAAAATGTATAAGTCTAAAGGAAGAGATAGCTAAGTGGATGCAATAAATCACCATGCAGGATCGTAAGGAGTCAGCCCAGAAATATCTCCAAGGCTCAAGGGGAATTGGTTACGTAGAACAAAACATGGTTCCCCAAGAAAAACAAAGAGTATTAGTGCCCCAAATTTGAGTGAAATTTTACACACAATAAATAGGACTATTCCAGCTATTAGGCACAGGGTGTGGGACGACGGAAGTAATCCAATGCAAGTACAGGAGCCAGGCCCAAGAAGCCAAGCAGTAAAGATAGGAAGAGCATCTCCACATGAGTACAGCTACCTCTGTCAGGAGGTAGGGGGGCATCTGATTAAAGATTGTCCATGGCAAGAGGAAGGAAGTAAAGGAGGAAAGTTCTACTTTGTCGACAAGAATGGAGAATGTCAGCTTTTAATTCTCCATCTCACGAACTTGTCTGTAGTGGTGAGCATGATGAACAGCAAGTTTTTTGTTCTATTTAGGCTACTGGGATGATATGCATTTTCGTTATTATGATCTACATGATTTATGTCTGCCTAGTATATGAGGAAGCTGGTTCATGTACCATCGATGGAAGGGAGCCATTAGTTAGAAAAGGTTTTGAATAAAATAGCTGGGAACTCACATGATAATCTGACCGAGGTGGTAGTAGGATCTCAAAAAATTGCAAGTAATAGGTGGTCCCATTAGAGATGGTGGGCCTTCTAAGAAAGGCATCTGTAATAATAGGATGCCTCAAGTCGATCGTTGGAAGTTTGGAAAATGGAACCCCAATGATGGTGCATAGACAGCCATAAAACACGAGGTCTCAGTGATAGTACCTATTGTATGTAGAGGACCAAATGAAGTTTTAGCCGGTAACTGGGGACGCGAATTAATTTAAGTTACCCCCCCCCCCAAAAAAAAAGAAAAAAAAAGACACTTGGCAAAGGTAGAGGTTTTAGAGGGTCTTACATTGGAGCATCTGGGTCAAATGTCTAAATATCACAA